TGACCGACCACTGCGAAAGTTGCTTAATTTGAACGATCGCAGCCGAACGCGCTAACCAACCGCGCCATCGAGCTCCTCAAACTACAATCGCAGTTCTAATTTTATTTGTGGTCGTTTACAATTTTTGGTGATCAGTTAAACATAGGTAAGCTTTATAAAATACTTGGTCGATGCAGTCGCTTAGTGATCGATTTAACAAAAATAAAATATGAGATGAAGAGAGGTACGGCATAGCGGATTTGGCGCTCGATTTGGAGCAGTCGTCTAGGGTAGTACCTCCACCCTCCACCTTACAGAAGACAACACAACACAGTAAAAGAACACTACCTTTGATATTGGTGTCGATTCTGGCGTGATTCTCTAAACTTAAAACTAATTTTAACATCAGTCTCTCCTTTTCATTCTGTATAGAGAATGACAAGGATACACTGTTGTCAAATTTAAGTTTAGGTTTAGAGAATCATGCTAGAATCGACACCAGTGTTGTGTTTCTGTCGGTGAATAAGGCTGGGCAACAAGGCATAATTTTGTACGGTTTTCTGATCAAGAATTATAATTCGGAAACCTGAATGCACGTTCTTACATACAACTTTATGCAACGAGGCGCACACTATTCTTATTTTTTCAGAATATGCTTGTTTGCCATCCTTTCAACGTAGAAAAAATATGAAAATGAGTTGAGAACTCTATTCACGCGACATTTCGTAAAGCGTCACTGAAGTTGAGTCTAGAAGCTTCGCTCTAACAATCATCAAACATTTTTGAGTGAGACCAAGTACGCAATGATAGTAGTTAATTTGATTCATAAAAAATGTACTTATTTATACTACCTACCTTATTTTTCCAAATGTAAAGGTACTTCAAATTGAAGTAAACTGCCAATCAAGTAGACTTGTAAAAAATTATGATCCCTGGGCGGGCATTTATATTATTAGAATGGGTAAATTTGTAATTTTTATTTGCTGGTAGATAAGAGCCAGCTAGCTAAGTAAATATATCGTAAACGTCGATATTCTATTCTGTAAATAAACTAAAAAAATGATTATTTGTATGTGAATACTATAATGCGATAGGTACCTAAAGTACTGTAATATTAGCTATTTATTCAATTGCCTAAAGGATACTCAGACTATAATGTTTGTCCTATCGGATAGGACAGACATTATTCTATTCCTATTCAGGTACCGATTTGATTAGGCTACCTACGAATACGTAACTAAATAAAATACTACGATTTTCCTACAGCCAAAAAATACTGGGACAAGTGGATTCGTGATGAAATTAGGTTAATTTAAGTAAGTACATAATATAAGGTATTCTAAGGAATAATATGAATCTGCGGTCACGAATGTTACCCACGCCGCACGATTCACAACATTGTAGTAGAGATGCTCTCAGATCGTCGCGTAATATAACGATCGAGGGACTGCATATTGCCAAGTATGATAGATATCGTTGAAAGAAAGGGGAATTATAGTGCATGCAGCTTTGCAGAGGGGGTAGCGAAGCTCGTACGTAGGAGCCGGGACAGCAGGGGTGGCTGACGCGGGGGCGGCCGGCGCAGCGGGCCGGGCGGGGCGCGCTCGATACGCGCGCGCGCCGCGTACGGTGACGATGACGTTCCGCCAGTCGCGTTTAGACGCTCTCGGTGTGTGGAACGCCAGATTCCTCCCGGTCGCAACTGTCAAACGTTCCGATATCGTAAAAGTCTACCGCTTCCCCGAAGTACGTATCTGCTGTCAATAATCGCTAATTCATTGTCAGCTTAATCTTGTTACATAGGAATCAGTTGAGTGCCGTTATTTTAAATTCATAAGTTTCGGTAATTTGTTTACATTTGGGTCACATGTTTACTACTTGGTGTTTTAGGTTAACAATGAATTAGTGAAAATTTATAAATGAAATAGTTATTAATTAGAAGTGATGTGCCTTCAGTGTGTACGAGAGCAGCGATTCACGTGCAACAATAATTTTTGAGCATCGCCCACTTTTTCGCGTCGTTATGTTGTTGGAGTGACATTAACTTAGTGTTCTTTGCGCGTAAAGCCACATAAGTCTCGTTTCAGCTCAGTAGAAATAGCGTGAACTGTTCAGTAAAATTAGTGTGTGAATATTTGATGGAGTGTCGTAAACGGGAGCGTGAATAGAGTCGAGAATGGCTCGGATAATGTCGCGCGACGGCGCAACGGGGGTATTGATCGGCGGCGGCGCGGCGCGCGGTGGAGACGGGTCGCGAGACGCCGGCGTCGCCGCCTAAATAAAGCTCGCGTGTACCATGTATGCTATGCGCCTCGACGTCCGCCGCCCTACGACCATCCGCCCGCCGCGCTGCGCCGCCACTGTCGCGCGTTTTCTTCACAATACGTCATGCCATAGATGATTGCTAAATTAACATGGCATATTTGGTTTCTTAGTTAGGCTAGCATTCGTAAAGAATTATTTACTTCCACCTAATATTTGAAGCTCATATAGCTCATAATTTTCCAACTGTGTTGTCGTGACAGAGTCAAATCAGAAATAGCAGTATGTTCACAATATAATCTCATAAACTGAGCCTAGTTATCCGTGTTGAATAGTGCGTAGCTTCTAATACGATCCTTACTAAGAAAGAAGCTTAGATTGCAAGCAAAATCATTTCTGAAAGGTACACAAACCTACGCGTACGATCATTATTATAGGTACCAAGGATCTAAATAACGAAGGAGAACAAGGAAGTTTAATGAATTATTCCTATGCATATCTATTAGACACATACCTACACAGGTATATAAAATATTATAATAATACCTATTACTATGAGCACCTCTAACAAAGTGAGGAAAATCTATTAGCGCCCGTCGTCAGGGTCAAGCGGACATGGAAAAGCACCGGGATTGATGATGACACCATGCAATGTTATCAAAAACCATACATTATAATATGGCTTATACATAAAGAGAATAAAAAAAAACACCGCTGGCATCACAATCAAAGCTGCGTATCTAGCTACTGAAAATAATCTATCCTATTCTCTAATGTCAAAAGATTGATTACCTTTAACCTTTTCGCAAGCTTTTCATATTTAAATGATCACCAATAAAATAGTATCTACTTACCTAATTGACCTCAAAAATACAATTGGATTGGTACTTACGTAATACCTATCTAATTTATATTAATTTTGAAGATCATTTTTCCCTTTTTTAAATAGGCACGGTACATACAATGTCAAGAACAGTTGTATTGAAATAGATTGCTTATCACATAAACACGTACGTACGTTCGTATTCAGTATAATAAATGTAGAGAGCTACAATTTAAAGATACCTTTTACTCAAATTATCTTAACCTTTGTACCTATATTTGATTATTAAATAATTGTGTACATACACTTCAGACACAACGAAAAATGGATTCCAAGGATCGTGCAAAAACTCAACTTTCAGTGTGGCTAGGGTTACTATTTAAAAATTTGAAAAGTTCTGACAAAAATCCGGACATATTGATAAAAGTCCGGACATTTTAGTCACAAAATGCAAACATCACCCAAGTGGGTGTAGTGTAGTGTAGGTGTAGTAACTAAGTAGTTACAGTGATATTATACGCGTGGTAGCAGACGCTCGCATCGCGAGGGGGGTCTCGTTGTTGATTTTTAAAGATGATTAATATTTTGATTTAAATTAACGAGAACTTAATAAAGATTATTTGACTTTTTTATATAGCTTAATAAGTATTTTCACTCATATTCCATGTAACTAAAAATTCGGACTAATTAAAAAGCCGGAGAAAAGGCAAAAAGTCCGGACCTATCGGATGGTAACTCTAGGTGTGGCTGAAATTGCAACTTTTTAGAGCCATTTTATATCGATGAGTACTCATATTACCTAAATTATCTGTTTATTTAAACACTAGAGATCCCATGGGCTTTGCACGATCATGAATTTAACCACTTAATATGAAAATATTAGAACCGTCCCATTTCAGTGAATTTCACTTACAGTGAAGTGTACTTGATAAACATTCAGGAATCAGAAATCAATATAATTATCTTTATTCAAATTGGATGTATAGTACAACTCGATTGAATCGTCCATTTTTTTCTCTACCACTCGTTATTGGACATATTTTTAGTTGCGGAGAAAAATGAGCGAAAAAAAGATTTTTTTTATACCCGCTATATATATATATATATATATATTGGTTTCTGGCAAATTTCTAAAATAAAACAGTCATATGCTTGGACTGATTGCTGGTGCGGACGGTTGCAATTTACTAAACTAGAAAATGAGAATGTTTAAATTTTACTACAAAAAAATATATACAGAACCTCCTCCCTTTTTGAAGTCGGTTCAAAATACATTGCTACGTTTCGAAATTTTATTGATTTCCAGTAGATTATCTAAAAATATAATCGAGCCATTCTCAAGTGATACTCTGTCAAATTTTTGTTGCGAGTTCAGTTTCATCGCCAATTTTATTACGAATGTCGTAAGATGTTTTGATAAAGCGAATTTTCGCGAAAATACTAAGGAAGCAAAAAACTTTTTTGGGATTCAAAGTACATCGCTCGAGATAAAATCGTGTTGCTCCCGAGGTGGACACTCTATTCTTTACCACCCTCTATGAGAAAATAAGTAAATGCAAGTAACATATTTAGCGTACCATACAATGTTAATAAACATCCTGAGTTCTCCTGTTACTTATACCAATGCTACTGTAATCGATAGTAGTGTCTCTGGGGTCCTTTAAGAGAGGCGTGAAGAACCATTTTTGCAGGCTGGCAAGGTGAGGATGGTTGGTGTAGCAATTTATAACTGCTGTACCAGCGATCTTCGCGTTTGGTCTTTATCACCACTTAACATCAGGTGTGGTAGAGTCATTTGCCTACCTGGCCATATATAAAAAAAATTAATAAAAAAAAAGTTATTGTGAAGACGTCTTTACCACTATACTATTTTTTTGTATTTTATTCCGCAGGCATGGATTGCATCAGTAACTAACGCAGTAAGAAGCACAGTGTAATGGCGCGTACCGTGCTGGCAGCCGGCGCGCTGCTTTGCGCCCTGAGTATAGCTCAACTTACGCGCGCGCTCATTTTGCTGCCTCATGATGTACGACCTGGCCACGCAGTCCGTCACTTCACAGGAAATCACTCTCGATACACCCTGCTCGACCCCGAATATGCACCATTCTTCACACTACTTGACGACGGCCTACTCATGACTACTGCTGACCTAGAACCCCTCCTCAATCAACCACTGGACCTTGCAATACTAGAACAAACCCCGTATAGTAGTTCAGCGCATTCCATCCATCTTCTCGTGGTGGACAAAAGGCGCATGCTTCATTTTCCTGGCTCTGAAAACTTACGAGGGGAAATACCAGAAAATTCGCCAGTCGGAACAACTGTCGATTTACCACCTATAAGAGCTACAGCATTTGTAGATGTTGGTCCGATAGCTTATAAAATAGTGAAGGGGAATAATGATGCTGTGTTTTCACTCCGTGAAAAGAATAAAGGAGAGAGTGTACCCTCGGTTGCATCGGTGATTACAGCAGGTGATGTAGAAATAATTGCTTTGAAATCTTTGGATGCTGAAGAAAAAAGTCTCTATGATTTGATTGTTCAAGCAACTGACTTACACGGAACCAATAAAGCTAGTTTGCCGATTCGTATTGATGTTATGAATGAAAATGATCATGAACCATTTTTTGAACAAGAGGTGTATTATTTCGCTGTAAATGGTACTCCAAATGAAAATGGACCGAATGGCACAGCCCATTGGCAAAGATTTTCTAGTATTGGTAAAGTTCACGCATTTGACGAAGATGCTGATCGTGTGTATTATTCTTTGACAAACCCCAGCAATCTTGCAGTCATAGTGCCTCAAACAGGAGAGCTAATTTTGGCCGGAGAACCAGATAGTCATGAAGCTGAATTAAGGGTAATCGCACATGATACAGGTTCGCCGCCACGTAAGAGCCAACCCGCGCGTGTGATACTCGAGTTCGTGATTCACGATCGAAAAGATTTACCTACGCTTCACCGGGAAAAGCGTCGCGTCACCCGTGCGGTTCGACCAACGAAACGCATAGAGTTCACGGAAGCCGATGGCGAAGTAGAAGGACGTGCTGTTTTTACATTAGAGAAGGAAACTGATCGTGAGACATTTAAAATTCGGGACGAAAATCCTTGGGTTACCGTTGAACCCAGTGGTGTAGTGAAAGTTAAAAAGAAGTGGGACTATGAAGAGTTGGGGCCGGAGAAGACCATCGACTTCTGGGTCACGATCACCAACGCTGGAAATGGAGGTAAGTGCCTAAGGATATTTTCCCTTTTTGTTATTATTTTAATCTATCATGAACTTCTACAAAATCCATATATTTTTTTTTAATTTGAAATGGGGAACAGTCAATGATTCCATTTAATAATTCTATAGAGCAACTAAAGCGTGCCTAACAAAACAAAAACACTACGTGTTGGCTGCTCAAAGTGTAGCAAATCGTCTTCCACCACATTTATTATTTTAACTTTTTACATAGATGAGCGTTTTTTGTTGTGATTACACCACATAATTTGTAACGTCTCAATCGAGAAAGAATTGGGATAATGACAGGGATAAAATAAGGGTGCGCAGCACCATGAATTCCAGTTGGTCATTATTTTAAATACCTTTTGTTTTTGTTAAAATGACGCATTGTCAGATACGTTATATTAGGTCTTGTCTTGCTTTTGGTCGCAAAATGTTTCACTCACAATTCTTTGCTAATTAATTAAACTTTGTAAAAAAAATTTTTTGCCTTGTGAGTGAGGTTATCGTGTTCATTTTATTATATTGAATTCGTAAGAATTCTGAGCTTCCTATACCCTTTTAAAGATGTTATAGTCCATATAAGTATGTAGTAAAAGCCCAAATTACCTACTCTGTCCGTAATACGTAATGAAGTTTACATTTCATCAGATGGTACATTAAATCATCAAAGTATCGAATAGATAATTTAAAAAAATATTTAAGTCGTTTATTATATAATATACGATGTTGCGATTAGTTAACAACTGAGATTTTGATAAGCTACATATTCGAAGGTCATTTTTATTTATTACAATGTGTAAAGAACAATATTCAGCAGTAATTATCTTCACCTCTTTTATTCGATCACGATGTGATCAGCTAACTAATTCACGTCATAGTATAGGCGATACGCACAACACAGGACACACCTGTCTCTTCAAAAAGTGCGTTCATGCGTAACGTAAGGCCATAGTCGACGCAATGACTGGTAGTAATTATTTGTCTGATACCGAAAGCGAATGGGTGCGTGACCCACTGATTTGTGACTTTACGGTCTCTCCCGTGGGTCCTTAATAAACCGATCATTGGGTCTGCTCCACAGATTTTAAGTGATATCTCATTTAACTTGCCTGCAATACCCTTGGCATGAACCAATATCGAATTCGTAACGTTTGCGAGTACGAAATGTCATTGTCAAATATGTACTGATTTTTACTTCTCGTTACGTACTTTGTGGCGCTGCTGTTCAAGTTTCCATACAAAATTTGACATTGACATTTCGCACTCGCAAACTATTCGAATTCGATAATGGTTCGTGTTAGGGGAACAGTTTGGTTTGTCACCCCGTCGCAAATCAAGTCACGATTCTTATAGCTGTTACAGCCTCTGTCACGCTACTATTATGACAATAAGTATCGACTACCTGCTTCATAGCAAGCGGTGTATTCCGATTTTGAAATCCAATAAGAATGTTCTATATACACAAGACCTTTGAAATCCATCAATATTTTTCTTATCTATTCTTATTAGGCACTTTAATCTAAAACTAAACTTATGTAACGTCGTCGGTGATCAATCTTCTATCTATAGGTGATATCTTCCGATTGTCTTGATCATTTAGTACTATTGAAGTGGTATCAATTATTTCAATTCATTCACACATCTATCCGCGGTGTTGTAAAAACGGTCATCGCGAATTCCACGCTACGTTCCTTTGCAGTGTCAACAGTGGCACGAGAATTATCGGTGGGCATGGAATTCCCATTAGGTACAATGGTTGTTGAGTGGTGTTGTTCAGTTACGCGCGCGGCCGACCAGCCACCGCACAGCGTGCCCAATGCGTCCCTAATCGGAGACCTGTCGCACGGCCTCGTCATTTCTTCACCGTGGCAATCACGACTACCAAAGATGCTCTCTAACTTTTTTCCTAGTAGTGTACCTGCTTTTCATTTTTGAAATGACACGCAATTTTGACGTATTTGTCTCTTTCTTTGAGTTGGTAAGGTTTGAGTCACTTTTTAGTTAAGTAGATGTAAAAGTAGTTTGGTAGAAAAGAACATATAATTGAATACACCTAGATGCTTATAATCTAAGGTATGTAGAAAATCCCACGAACTAATTTAGGAACTTATTACTCTTACAAGAATTTATTGCATTTATTAACTTTCTGTAATAACATTTCCACTTCTCAAAACTGATAATATATAAATTCATATGGCATGAAACACATGCGAAAAGCTAAAAAATTATATCGTATGTTAATGGTGGATGAATATCTATTGATTTTGGGTATTCTTCTGCCGAAATAATTTTATGTAAGTATCTACATATTGAGGTACAGACATCGTGGTTCCAGGTGTAGCTTAAATAGTAATTCTCATATTTCATAATAACTCATGCTTTTAGATACATTTATAACTTAAAAAGTACAAGTACCGAATCAGATAAAATATAATTGCCAAAATGTTCTAACACCATTTAAAATTATAGGTGTGTAGTCTGATCGACAAAGTTTAATCGTAGGTAGTAAATCAGGATGTGTAAATGTCGCACATTATCAATGTAAATCGAGATCTTGTTTAATTATAACATTCGGGCAGGCAGCGAGCCGAGGTGGGTGGCCGCCCGAAGGGCTCCGTCCAAAGCCAGAATGCTCCGCACCTCCGGGAATATAATCATTATCATTATTACGTTGTATGGATAGCTGTTTCAATAGATAATCGTGAGCAGTCAAGATTTTTATTTATGTTATAGACAGGCTTTGTTTTCTTTAGCTAAACTGACAGCGAGGTATATAACATTATATATAATCGAATGCGCAAACTTCTCACTTTTCCTTGTAGGTAGTAAGTTTATCGAATACCAGGACGCTTTCAAAGATTATTGTAAGCGTAGGCAATATAGAGTGACAATCTATCACTATTGTATCCGAGCTACCACTTAGATCCGATCAATGCTAACTGTGGTGTCGTTGACGTGTGGCTCCACATACATACGTAGGTAATAATATTTAGCAATTTAATGGACATCTTGTATGCTCAAAACTTGTAAGGGATTGCTTTACTTTGCCACTGCCAACCTTGTAAGGGATACTTACCCTGAATTATTGATTGTTTCAATTCTTCTTTCTTATCTCTAAAAAGCTAAAACTTTGTAGATGAACCAGTTTCAAGCAAACGCTTGGAAATGAAAGGAGGGCCGGTGCCGATGCCTCCGGGAAGTCCCGTCAATGCACCTTTGTCTCCTGAAAGGCATGCACTATTGGCAAATTAATTATGTTCTTCAGTAGCATCGTATCTCTTTGTGCCAGCAATCGACTATCGCTTTGAAGTGTTTTTCCGATAATCACTTTCCTGTTACCTGAAAACGGCGCTGACAGAAATGATTAAACTCCGTGAATATGGATGTAAAACGTGTGATGAACTTTACGTAGGTAGGTAGTACAGTCCAATTCACGTTGGAGCTTATCGTCGGTTTACACCAGAATATCGAATCCAAATATTTACTAATATTATTAATGTGAAATTTTGTTTATCACTTTTTTCTTTCACACCTAAAACCGCTAGTCCTTTATTTAGGACTAACTGTTTTAGGTGTCAAAGCGTTAATTATGGTTGATTTACTAATGACGACTATACAGATATAGGATGTAAACAAATATTATGCTGTCAATTGACAAAAATCAAAATATAATTTGCGACTGTGAACTGATAACATATATACAAAGGTTTAACATTGACAACTCGGATAATATAAACTAACATTTATTTATCTTTGGCATTCGGCGTACTGTGTAAGCCCGTTTCTAAGAGTTATTTATTAACTCTACGGTTTCTTGGACTTGTTTGTAAGTGTATAATACAAACATGAAATATTTGGGCATTTATTATATTTGGTAATAAGCACAGGTACAAGTCGACAAATTAAACACAAATTTTGAATTTTGCTTGTACGAGCCGTGACTACGCTTGCCATGCTTGTGTTGAACTTTGTGCCGGATAATTTAAGTGCTGTAAAATATAACAAATATATATAATTTATATATATATATATATATTTGTTGTATTACTTACACAATGACCCTCTGCCTAATATCTGCTGTCTTGGGTAGTTTTAACAGAATTGTGGACAGAATTACTCATGAGTTAAAGCTGTCGACGTTAATCGTTCAAGGTCTTTACATTATTAATAACAGAAGATGTGGCAAATTTCGAAACTACGCTAGGGGCTAGTCAGTGTTTTCCTTACTTGATGACATATTCCACAAAATAATATGTTGACAACCTATATTGCAACACAATAGTCACCCAATAAAAATGTTACTAATGATGTCGAGTCGTCATTATCATCTCGCAGCTATTCTACACTCACTGCTGGCATCGACCGGTCTTCCTTAAAGATCACCTCACATCGATCGTCCCTGTTCATTAAGTTAGACTGTGTGTTCGATTCAAAATATGTTAAATTTTCATATTCAGTCATCGCTTTCCTGCTAAATTGATTGTTTTGACGATGCATTTATCAGAATCAGCAGAACCGCATCCACGTTAAGGACTGTTTGAAACGCGCAGTTAGTTAAATTCACTCATTCATTCAATCAATGGCATTAGGTGCGGGCGTCGGTCGCACAACAATCGACGCACTGGCCTATTCCCCTCATTGTGTCCGCTCGCCACAATTACGTATGCGCACTTCCTATGCTGGTTGACCCTAACAGTATATTCAATATGATGCTGCGTTGACATCTGTCCGATTCAGTTCTTTGTTTCATCTCTGCCTTTTTGCTTTAGGAGTATCTTGTGTGGTTGTGGCAATAAAACTTTAATTAATATGGCGCGTATTTGGTCTCGGCAACTAAGTTCAAAAAAAGTTGTGGCCGATCGTTGTCTTAAGTAAGCCGCAGCCACAACACGTAGCTGTAACCCGCATCCTTTACTTTTATTTTATGTGGAAAATTTGAACTTAGTACATGACTTAAGGACAAGTTTTCCACGTAAAATCCGATATAAAGACCGTAGTACAGTCAATCTGTCGATTCAGTGAAAAAAAAACCTAAAGGGTAAGTCTTGTTTTTTCTGTTGCCAAATGACGTCAGTAAGCCACCTTGGCGATGGGCATGTTCAATTCGTAGGCGTTTTTTGAAAAACTCAAAAAAAACCGTCAAAATTTTTTTGAAACGCATTTTTCTTGTTTTGTATGCATTTTAGAAACTTTTTTTTCGACCATAATTGTAGAGGGCGTTGAGTGCTACAATTTATGTTATTGTTGCAATCTCGTACAACAAAAAATGCTCATTGTAGGTGGCACTAAAGTCTCAAAAAAAGGGTTTTTTCACTTTTTCACCCTGAAAATATCATTTTAATGAAAAACTTTAAATGGCAAAGTTGTTTCGTACATAATTACCAACAACTTTTGTATAAACAATTTTTTTGTATTACTTACCGTTTTCAAGTTATAAATTGCGCAGGTATGAAAAATCCAATAGAGCGGTTTTGGGCAGTTCAAGTACACATTTGCAGTGCACATTTTAATGTACGTTTTTACTATATTTTTTTTCAATCATGAAAAAAAATAAAAATAAATCTATTTTTTTTTTCATTTTTTTTTGTTTTTTAATCATGAAAAAAAATAAAAAATAGTAAAACGTACATTAAAATGTGCACTGCAAATGTGTACTTGAACTGCCCAAAACCGCTCTATTGGATTTTTCATACCTGCGCAATTTATAACTTGAAAACGGTAAGTAATACAAAAAAATTGTTTATACAAAAGTTGTTGGTAATTATGTACGAAACAACTTTGCCATTTAAAGTTTTCCATTGAAATGATATTTTCAGGGTGAAAAAGTGAAAAAACCCTTTTTTTGAGACTTTAGTGCCACCTACAATGCGCATTTTTTGTTGTACGAGATTGCAACACTGACATAAATTGTAGTACTCAACGCCCTCTACAATTATGGTCGGAAAAAAAGTTTCTAAAATGCATAAAAAAAAGAAAAATGCGTTTCAAAAAAATTTTGACGTTTTTTTTGAGTTTTTAAAAAAACGCCTACGAGTTGAACATGCCCATCGCCAAGGTGGCTTACTGACATCATTTGGCAACAGAAAAAACAAGACTTACCCTTTAGGTTTTTTTTTCACCACTCAACCTACAGATTGACTGTACTACCGTTAAACTGATAATGCAAGTGTATTGAATTTGCATTTCCGAATAAAATCAATTCTTCATTTATTCCTACATATAATATGAATTCACCCTCTCCATTTATCTTAGTTATAAAAGTTTCTGTTATACGGGGTGTGGTGTATCGACCGCGACCTTGATTATGTGCGTGTGTGGTTTGCAATTTGGGGTTGCTATTCTTATACTTCGATGATAATTCTGTTTGACCATTGGATTGAGTCGAGGGTAAAGTCGGAATACCTATGCCTCGGCATAATTAATATATATGAGATGGCATTGTCATTGTTGCCTTTTCACAGAATTTAGTAAATATTAAGGTCAAATGTTTTAAGGTTTTTATGAAATTTAAAAATAGTTCCTTTAATAACCTTTTTTAATTATATGCCAAACTGCATCAGGCATCAGTTAGTTAAATAGACTCCTCTGTGTAGCATGTAGCGCTATAAACTTGCGCGAGAGTGCGTCTATCCCATTTGTGGGCTTTCACTATGATTGTGATTTGATTGCGGTCATTTGCTCGTCTTCCTAAACTAGTGGTCGCGAGGCGTTTACACACTCAACTGACGTGAGATCACGTTTATTTGTAGTGTAATAAATTGCCTAACCGTATATGATGCTTATCTTTACATTCCGTTTGAGTGAGTACCTTTCAAAATGTTTGGATAATAATTCCTACGGCCACTTCTTTG